GCATGACAGGGGCCAATGGGAGCCTTTTAACAATTTAGGCTCCCACTGTCTCTTTAAGAGCGCACCCGCGACTCACAGCGCGCTCTTAGATTCAGGCGGGACACATGACCGCTTCTCGCGGTCACTGCCCGCCTTCCTATTGAAGCCATCGGATGAGCCGCGCGCGGCTCGAAGAGAGGACCGCGGCCGGCCCCTGGATAAGGTAAGTAACACTACACACAGTAAGTAATTGCAGTAGTCTGATGTAAAAGAAAGGTTTTAAATTCCATAGTAATTTTTAAAATTAAGATTTCTACTGCATTGTGAATGCGGGAGTTTTATCATAAATATCTAAATTAGTAAGCACATAGGAAATCTCAAACGTAGGCAATTCCCAATGTAGCTGCCATTATCAACCGATTTATTCAAATGCTTTGGCTGAAGTCTTTTACTTTCTCATAAAGTTCTAAAGTGCTGAAAAGGACAGAAAGTCTTTCTTGAGTTATTAGTTTTCATCTCTGTATCTGTGTCACCAAAGTTTTATCAAGATAAATCTAATGTTTTTTAGAAGGGTATTAATAAATTATGTGGTAATGAAAAATGTGAGATGAACCATACTCTTACATCAAGGCCTGATGATTACTTTGATTGATACACTTGCAAGTTTTTCTTGACAAGGAAAAAAATGAATAACATGACATACAGACCTTTAAGGGTGACCTCAGAGAAATAACAAGTCGCTGAGTGAAACAGAAACTGAATAGGAAAAAAAGAAAAGAGTCTACGTTTTTTAATGTCAATAAGCCAGACTCATGGCTGTTTTTTTTAACTGATCTGTGAGTTCAGTTCAGATTGCTATGTATTGCAATTTTTATGATGGCTAGAATTTAGTTTACATTAGACTTATGCTGGGCAATAAAAAAAAAAAAAGAGTTCTTCCAAAACACTAGGGACAAAATTAAAACAGTTCGTGATGAAGGTATTGAGTTTAGTGATCTGTTTAGTTCAGATGAATTTTGATACTGAAAAAAAAAATCAGAAAGGCCTAACTGCAGCAGAAAAGGCGACTATGACTCTTCTGGCATGCAAAAAAAAAAAACTACAATATTCCCTGTTCTAATGGTTACGCTATATGCTCTATTTTTGCAATGCCATTTCTAGGTTGCCAAAATGTAATTCTATATATATATAGAATATATAGAATTACATTTTGTCACGTCATCGCTCCCGCCCCATCTCCTATTTTTTTAATCCAGATATATATATATATAAAAAAATAGGAGATGGGGAGGGAGCGATGACGTGACATCACGACTCCACGCACGTCAGGTGGAGCTGGTGCAGGTACGGGCGATATGAAGGCTGAGACCAGGGGACGAAGGGCAGATGCCACAATATTTTTTCTTTCTTACATTTCTCCCCTTTTTGGTTGATGCTTATGGGAGCTGAGTCTGGAGAACTAGCAGCACTACTCCCGGAACCGGAAGCCACGGAACAAGTTGGAGAGCAGAAAAACTCCTACCGCATGGAGGATGGAGTGGTATACTGAGTCTTCTTGCTGTCCCACTGTCACAGGTGGCGGTCCGAAGACCGGGACCCTGTGTGCCTGATGTAGAAGATAGGAGTCTCAGCGTGGAAGTGGACAATCAGGGTCTGGTGCAGGGTAACCACACACCCCCTGGTGTTGAACACCAGTGTTTGTGCGGCCACATACCAGAATCCTGATGCAGCTTAACAGAAGCCAGAAGCTGAATGTTATGCAGATGTTTCTATCCAGTACTAGAAACAAGGCAAGACTAGAACAGGCACCAAACAAGATAAGACAAGACTAGACTAGAAGAACCCAGAACCTGAGCAGGACAGAAAGCAGAACCCAGAATATGTACACGATACATGAGGGAAACAAGAACAGGACATGGACAGGGCAGGACAGTACATGAACTGGGAATACAAGACAAAAAAAACAAGTCAAGAGATCCAAGGGAAAACAAGAGGAGACATAACTTAGTACTATATATGTAATAAACATCGGAGATTTAGACATTCATAAATAGCCAAGATGTATGCAGCCCACCACTGTGCCAAAGTACTCCAATTACGTTAGGTCCTAACTGCCTAGATATGCATGACTAAATAAACAACAATAAAACACACACAGTACTTACCTGCAAAGAAAGGAGCAGAGGAAATGAAACCACTGCCTGCAGGAACAGACTGAAACAAAAAGGTTTAATGGCAAAGGAACAGATGTGGCAACAAAAAAACAAAAATGTTAAGGAATCCAGGAGACTGGGGATTCCAGGAAGGGAATAATGGAATGAACCCAGAAAACCCAGAATAAAGAAAACTAGACATAGAATAGAAAACCAGAAAAACCAAGAAAAAATAACAAGAATTGTAAACAGAGTACTGGATATCAGCCAAGGGTAGACATCTGTGCAGAACGGAACAGGTTATGACACCCACGTGGAGAAATGGCATCCTGAAGCAAAGAGGGGAACGAAAGAAGGAAAAAAAGAAAAAAAGAGACCCTGGATATCAGAACAAGCAGAAGTAATGGGAGAGATGGAACAGTGACCAGAATCTGCTATTTAAAATCAGATAAATTACCTGAAATCTTCTGGGGCTATCCCACATATTTATAATTGATATTATTTGAAGATCTTACTCTGTTATAAATGGCTCACGTTGTGTAGGGGAGAGGAGGAAAGGATAAAGAAAAATATATAAAAGGTGAAATTAAAGAAAAGAAATCAAGACAGAAGACTATAATCGAAATAATGAAAGTATAAGATAATTAACAGTGATGACAAAGAAATAATTACATTTTGAATTACTGATTTATTTTTACCTTGATTTTTTTTTGCTTTCACAGATAAGGACTTTCTTTTTATATGTCTAAGGGTGTCATGGTCCTCACCACAACATCCAGACAAGGTCACCCCAGAAGGGCCCAACAAGGGATTTGAACCTGGGTACTTTGTGGTCCTGGGTCTGCTGTTTCTCCTCTGAGCAACAATACGGCTCGAGTAATAGCCTGAAGTCTGATCTTGCCTTGTATCCAGCACTGGGGGTTGGAATTTACCTGAGACTGCTATTGTCACTCATGGTTCACCTGTGGCTGATCACTGATTAGCCAGGTATAAGACACTGCCTCTCCCTGAGAGCAGTGTCAGTTCATTGACTCTGGTTCCTGTGTTGGTGTTCCAGTTGGCTCCTGACCTTGGCTTTCTATTCGTGTATCCTGACTTCTGTCATCCTCTGACTTTGGCTTACCCTTGTTTATTCTGACTATGGCACCCTCTGACCTTTGCCTTACCCACGACGATACTCCTGCTTGTGTTCTTACCTGTATTGTGACTTGGAGCATTATCCTGCACAGCCCCCGTGCACAGACTCACAGGCCAGGTGAATTATTACCTGACCACCTTGGCCTGTGTTTAATTGCAAGGGTGAGCACATATCTTTGCATACTCCTACTAAGGTAAGCCACAACAAAGGGAAGGATAAGAAGGGAAAGTAAAAAGAAAAGGAGAGTTTGAAAGAGGGATTCTGACAAAATACCTATCCCCATTTAGTAGAAAATCCCATTAGACACTAAAGAGAGTCTCCCTTTACACCTTTAACGATTATATCTGGAGACAATTTGCCACACCTGATGTAATTTGGGACAAATTGCATAATTATTCAGACTTTTAAGAGAGATACAGTTAGAAGTTAGCAACAAGATGCAAAGGACATTCTAATAATTATCTCTGGTAAACAAAATAAGTAACCAAGAAATAGAACGTTGGAATAAATCCTGCAAAATGTCTGGTATAAAAACAACAGAAAACAAATCGCTAACAAAAAAGGAAGCTAAACCTGAAAAGGGAGTTATACAAGAAGGTCATATGCATTTATGGCATAGATGTCATAGAACGGGAAAACCACCTGGTTCATCAGATGATCCACCTAGGGATGTGCTCCTATCTCTCTCTTCATCCCGTGTGAAGGAGAAATATCTTAAAAACAAAGACAAATATATTCTATAATATCAAGGAATTATAATATTACCGGACGTATCATTTTTTTTTTACGAGGACCAAGAGACGTTCATATGCAACAATAACCGATATACTTAGGAAAAAGAACAATAGATATAAGTGGGGGACCCTAGTAAATATAGTTCTTACATATGATTTTAAATCATATTCATTTGTTTCTTCTGAAAAATTAAGCATTTGGGCACTAGACAACAAAATTATAGGTACTTTTATAGTAGTATAAATTGAAACTGACAGGTGTGTGTGTGTGGTTTTTGTGGGTTTTTTTTTGTGTGATAGTGTGTGTGTGTATGTCTCTGTCTCTATCTCTATCTCTATATATCTCTATCTCTATCTCTCACACACAAAAAATTATATATATATATATATATATATACAATTTATTTTTTTTGTACACTTCAGAAAGCATGTGTTTGTTTTCTCAAATTGCCAACTTGAAATTCAATGTGAGGCGGATGAAAAAATGATAAAGATCTATATATTATAATGGTAATTGTTAAATTTAAAATATATTCAAATTCATACAAAAATTAGAGAATTTATTAGAATAAATGGAAAATATTGAGTCATGAAAAGCACAACTGGGGAAAAGAGGGTAAGAAAAGAAAAAAGGAACAAAAAGGGAATAGAAATTAATATTGACGCACAATAAAGAAATGTTTGCATTTCACTTAAGACACTTAATAGAAATAAAATTGAATCTTATATATTGATAAGTAATAACTTGGTCCCACGCCGGCGATCGCGGTGGGGGGAACTCCAGGGAGCCCCCCCGCGGTAGATCCTCCTCTGCCGGGGGTAGCTGCCTCCTGCATTGCCAGCTGCTGTAATGACAGGTGGTCCCCCTGCTGGCTGAAAATAAAATTAAAATAAATTAATTAAAAAGTAAAGTGTAAAAAAAAAAAAAATTATATATATATATATATATATATATATATATATATATATGTGTGTGTGTATGTATGTATGTATGTACATACACACACTTAATCAGTATGTCTACGTGTAATTTGAGAGAAATATATAAATATATATATATATATATATATATATATATATCTCAAATTACACGTAGACTGATACTGATTAAGTGTGTGTATATATAATTATTGTTATAATATAAAAAATTTTTATATGTAAATACGTTAAAAAAAAATTATTATTATGGACAATTATTACACTTAAGGGAATTAAACTATATTTAAACTCACAGAATAGAAAAGGAATATAATGGAATAAGGGAAAGTTTTTAAAAATTTATTGTACATTTAGGTGAAACGAAAGATAGGAAAAGGAAGTAGGAGGGGAATAGAAATTCACTTTGAGTTAAAACAGTGTGAGGACCTGCCTGACAAACCAGATAGAAAGTCCACAGAATTTGGTTCACAGGCCTCGGGAGACAAAACAGTAAAAGTATCACAACGATGATATCAGCGAAAGTGTTTTTCACACACAAATGGCACTTTCACTGATATCATTGTTGTGATACGTTTTACTATTTTGAAAACTAATATTTGTGTTCAGTGAAGTCTCCCAAGTATAACAGTACACCTCCATGTACAGATTTTATAGTGTTTTTGAAAGTTACAGGGTCAAATATAAGACTTGGTTTTCCATTTTTTCACATTGAAATTTTCCAGATTGGTTATGTTGCCCTTGAGACCGTATAGTAGCCCAGGAATGAGAATTACCCCCATGATTCCAGAATAAAAGCTGGAAATGTAGTATAAAGAGTCCAAATCCGCTAAAACGTGTTTCACTCATCTGTGAGCTTCTTCAGTTAGCTGTAATGTAGCCTCAGGGATCTTTTGCTTTTTAAATGTTCAGTCAATTTATTGGGTATTTAAAAAGCAAAAGATTCCTGGGGCTACATCACAGCTAACTGAAGAAGCACAGCCAAGTGAAACACGTTTTGGCTGATTTGGACTTTTGTTTGGACTTTTTATACTACATTTCCAGCTTTTATTTTATAGCGTAAAACCTTGAATATTGGTTTTAATTTGGAACCAATACTAAATTGGACTTTATATCTATATTTAGATCCTCATTATCTTTGCAATCCTCATCAGTGATGGAATTGGCAGTAGGGTTTTCTATATGTCTATAGAGTATGCCTATAACGGGGTAATTATTAGATCCTTACTAGGTATTCTTGACTCCATTGCACAACATTTAAGTCGGTGTCATTTCTAGCCTGTTATCTAGTTATGGCTTCAACCTGAATTGAACCCATAAGATCGTCAATGTTGAGGGTTTCACCATTGATGGCTGCTTATTTTTCCAATGACTCAGGTAAGTCATTACCTTCCTTGTCAATACCTTGTATTTTAGAATAGCCTTTGGTTTTCTTCCAATAAATGGTTAAACCATTTTCCTTAACCAGTTCAACAATGTACCATGTTTCAAAGGTTTGTTATTGCTTTTCAGCAGTTGGTTACATTTCCAGCTAGCCAGATATTCCACAAAACTCTTGCGAACATAGTTGGAATCAGTTATTTGATACCATATTCTATTGCCATTTGTATAGTCTTATATACTGCACAGAGTTCGGCTATCTGACTGCTTTTAGGACCAATATTGTATCCTATAGATATATTAGGATAATCACCCATTCAGGCAATTCCAATACCTGCTACTAACTTCTGTTCATTACTAACGGTGTTGAGATATGAACAACCATCAATGTATACCCACGGTAGTGGTCCACAGTATTCCTCATCATAAACTTTATAAGGGGATAGAAATTGCTCTTCTAGGAAGTAATCTCCGTTGTCATTATTATCTAGAGATGGAGCAGCACAGTTATTCATTTCTGCTAACCCTTTGGCAACTGGGCTTCTCTTATTATATTTATAACAGACTTATAATGGCCATCCCTGTAAGGATAAAGTCCATGCAGTAATCCGACTGTTAGAGAGATTACTGTCTCTAATTCTTTCACTCTGCAGATACTGTAGAGGGTGATGAGCAGTTTCTACAATAATTTTCCCACCTTGGATATAGCTATGAAAATTTTTGTAGTGCCCAAACAGTCGACAATAACACCTTCTCACATGTGTTGAATTTAACTTCAACAGGTGACAAAGTCTTGCTAGCATATGCAATTACTTTGTGTAGACTAGCCTGCTTCTGATACAGAACAGCACTTAAATTGGTGTATCCGATCTCAAGATAGAAAGGTTTACACCCCTCTGGTATGCTTAACAGGGTGTCTGAGTGAGTTACCTCTTCAGTTCACTTACCGCTTGGTCGTGAGGCTCACCCCAGTACCTGGTAGTTTTCTTTTTAAGCAGGTGGTTTGGTTATTTCTGCATAGTTATCTATAAACTTACTGGAGTAGTTAGTCATACCAAGGAATGATCTTAATTCCATGTTGTTATTTGGTGTTTTAGCCTTTAGTACAGAGTCTACCTTCTTCTTCTGTGGATTTAATCCTTCAGAAGTTACCTTGTGTCCCAGGAAATTGACATGGGTGCAACACCATTGTGCCCTTTCTAATGACAGTTTAATTACTGCCTCTCTTAACTGATTGAGAACATGTATAATCTCTATAATATGCTTATCAAAGGAAGTGCTTTTCAGCAAGACATTGTTGATGAGAGAATGTTCCTCTCTCAAGTGCATCAGGCATAGCTTTATGCATTAACACAGCAAATTCATGACCAGAGTTTACGTAACTGAAAGGCGAACGGGTCCAGATGTACAGCTGTTTTCCAAATGTAAAGGCCAGTTTGTATTGGTCTTCATCATGGGCTGGTACCATCCAATATCCCTGCGCACAGTCAATGGCAGTGAATATTTTGGATCCCTGCATTTGTAATAAACATTGGTCTATGTATGGCATGGGCCAACCAGACATATAGACACATTTATTTAGCGGTCTTTAGTCAGCGCATAAACGCCATTGTCCATTAGGTTTCAGAATTCCCAGAATCGGATTATTATACTAACTGTGCACCGGACATACAATGCCCATTTCCTTTAAATTCTGAATGATGTCTCGTACACCATTATATGAAGCTAATAGAAGTCTATATTGTTTGATAAATACAGGTGGTAAATTTAGATCAGTTTGTATTCTGGCTACGTGGAGGTTAGTTAACCCACAGTCGTAGGAATCTTTGGCGAAAGTATCTTAGAATTCCATTAGGATTTCCCTTAACTGTTGTAGCTCAGCATTGTTGGAGCACCCGTCAGCTAAATATATATGTTCTTCAGGCCTTTCCTGAAATCCTGGAAAGATTTCAGGCTGACCCATCTCATAAGGTTCTTCAAACCTAGAAGTTAGTTCAGTTCGGTGTTGACTAGCTTTTTTGTCTTTGGTTGTGAAATTCCCGTGATTCCTGTTCATTGAGCAGTTGATCAAAGGTGATAGATTTTATACAAGCCTTCTTCAATGAGATCTGATAGTGAATAATCTTTCTGGGGAAGATTGGAATAATTGATCAAAAATTAAATCTTCAGTTAAGTATTCTTCAGGGATGAGGCCTATAATTTGGTTTTGAAAACCTAATGTATAATACTCAGCATCCACTGCTAGACCTAAAATAATGTTCCTTTTGGTAAAATAACACTATGGGGTGTAACATTGTTGACAATAACATAGGTAGTATTCTTACAAATACACACCATTGGTGTAGGTGTCACCACCTTTCCTAATTGTTGTATCCGATTAGATAAACAAATTAGGGCGTCCCTGTTTTATTAACATTTGACCTTTCTTTGGTTGAAAGGTGGTGGTCGTCCCTCGTGGAATGGTTACATCCTCAGGAACATGGATACTTACCGTGTAAGGTAGTATTTGTCCTGATTTCAGGGCATTTTCCTCGTGTTGGTATTCACAAGGATTACCTTTTAACCTTGTCTACAAGTTGGAATTGATCAGGTCAAGGTGTATGGCAAAGCGATGTATGACATCATTGCCAATGTAAACCTGATAGTGAAGTTCATCTATTACTAGGAATAAATGTTTAGCCATCTTATTTCCGATAGAAATGGATAATAAACATTTTGCTGTCATATTGTGACTTTTTGATTCGTTGTCCATGTCTTGGATCCAGCTGTTATGTGGGGAAGCGTACCTGATCATTTTAGGATTAGCTTTCTGCTTTAACAGACTATTGCTTAATGTAGCTGTTCTCACTCTTTAAGTTCAGCTCAGCATTCCTATTCCTTCCTAAGTCATTTATATGAATAGGAAAGAAAAGGTTGTTATTAACCCTTTCAATTTTGTCAAGAAATTGAGCATGATTTGCCAGATCTACAGCTTCAACAACGGAATGGTTAACATATCACCTTCCAGAGAGACATTGCATCATTCACCTGCAGGATTGTCACGTCAGGTGACTAACTTTCCTAAAATGGACCTCAATAGAGTCAGGTCTTTCTTCTATCACATGGCAGTTACGTTCAGATTGTATTTGAGATTTCTCATTGGTTGTGGGAATACATTCATACAGTTAAGCCTTCTAAGTATATCTATACCTGGAATCAGACGGTCATAGGAGAGATCTACCACTATTACTGGGTGTTTAAAGGTTTTCCTATATTTCTACAGACACCTTCCTTCCTTCATATTCTTCTAATTCACATAAGAATTTAGAATGCATCAACATTTCACTCGTTTTTCATGTTACCTGTTACAGCGGTAGTTTCTACATGTACCGAGGTATGCTCAATCTTACCCACCGGCCCATCCTTCTTATGAACAACTTAAACTATCAAGCAGGAACTAGTGCTTGGCATCTTACCATTTAACACTTTCAGGTTAGGATACTGGAAGCTAGAGGCTGTTAGAGATACTTTAGCCTTTGGCTGAAATGAAAAAACAGACTGGAGCGTTGCGCCCAGTGGTGTATTTAGGTTTTGTGCTGCCCTAGGCAGGACAGTGCTCTGGCACACCACCCACTATTTAAATATTTCCCACCCCTTCCTGTCAAGGCAGCACTTTGACTGGCAGACGCACACACTCACTGACAGACACACACACTCATTGACAGACACACTCTCATATACACTGACAAACAATAACATACATACACTCACTGATTTGACACACTGATAGACAGACATACACTTACTCGGACACACACTCACTGAGA